GACTGTAGAAATATTTAATATTTAATTATAGGAGGAATAATGTGAGGATTAAATGATCTTATCTAATTATCTGATTTTTGTGTTGATTTATCTTCTCATCGTCATAGTAACGCTATAAATTATATAACTGAAATCTGAATTCCTCTCAGTAAAATGAAAAGAAAAGGTCCAGCAGGGACGTGTGGGGCTTTTATTTTTCTAACCTCCAAATCATTAAAATCTCATTTCATTCCTTCCCTTGTTTAATAAAGGATGAGATTTCCAGCTGAGATCAAACCGACACGTTCTTTGTTCGACTCGACATGAAAGAGTGGAGAGGATGAGTCCCGCTGCTGCGGCCTCCTCAAATCCTCCTCCAGGTTTCACAAAAATAAAAGCCTCTGTTTCCTGTCCCCGTGTTTACTACGGACCTCTGACAGACCGCTGCGTTCATTCAGCCCGACGTTTACAGAGCCGAGCTCTGCACAGAGGAAACCTGCCGCTGAGTTTCCACTGATGAGCTGGAATTGATTTCAGATCGGTCGGCCGGGGTTTTGATCAGGTCACTGCCCTGCGATCGATACCTGCAGTCTGATGTAGGTGGACGGACTTTTGATATGTAGGTCGCGGGTTAGGTCACGATTCAGAGAGCTGATGTAACTTTATCGACAGAAATGGACGGTGAGACGTTCGAACGCATCAGAAATACTGATATTTTCTCATCTCCTGGTTTTACGTGACTCTTGTTGTGTTCGGTCACAAAGATCCTCCGTGTCACTGTTAAAAAACAAAAAGCCTTGTTACATCATGCGTCCATTAACTTATTGATGTGTGTCGCTGGGATCAACATCAAATTCTCAATCTGACGACGGCGTCTGAAGTGCAGCTATTTAAAGCCAGCGACGCTCTGTCACTACAGTTAATGGTTATTAATTTAATACCACGACATCCATTTAGTCATTTAGTGCCTGAAATCTCATTTAGTGGTGAAACTTAAAAGACACTTTACTCTGAGGTGAATCTGAGCGAGCTGAGGCGGAAAATCCTCTGAAATCCCTTCAATCACGTTAAAACGTCAGCGAGCGGTCGTGTGTGTGAGTGTTTTTATTTTGGAAGCTCTCCACCGACAAATCCACACGACCATTAAAACACAAAAACGTATCAGAGTCTAATCTGATTCGAGGAATGACTCGGACGGTTGAACCTGTCTTTCTGTTTCATGGTAGAGGATTAAATAAATGAACAGCTTCTCCGCTGCAGTCCTCTAAACTCCCGGAGTTCCTCAAGGATCGTTCGTGGGTCACATTTCATTTTCTTCACGCTTCCCCAAGGACGCAGTGTTTACTTGTTACAGGACGCTTTTCTAAACAAGAGGGAAGTGATCCGCGGTCGACCCGAATGGACACGAGGACAATTTGACCCGATGCTAAATGTGGTCGACCCGAGCGGAGGGAACACTCACAGCTCAATTAATTCAATCAGTTAATGAGCCGTCGTGGTGGAAAAGAGCAGCAACACAACGACCATCAATAAAATCAATAATCCTGATCGACTCTTGTTTGATATTTAATCTGGAGTGAAGCTCTGTCCGTCCCTGACGTCTCGATGCGTCCTGGACTTCAGAGGTTAAGTCTAAAAGTTACTCACTGTGGTCCTTCCCTTTGCCGGGACCGGTGCCGACGCTGGCTTTGGGCGTGACGGGCATCAGTGCGTGACGGATCGCCTTCTCCCAGCTCTGGCCCACGTCCCGTCCCACACCAGACGCCGCCAGGACGGGGTTGTGGTACAGGCCGCCGTTGTTTTCCCCGACGTAGTACACCATGTTGGCCGTGGTCACCTCGAAGCAGTGCGGGTTGCTGCCCGGAGGCAGGCTGCTGAAGTCCTTCTCCGGCTCCACCTGCAGGATCTCGGACAGCGGGATCTCCTGAAGTGCGTCGGGACAAAACAGGAAGTCACATCAGACGACAGGAGGTGGATCTTCCCTCCGTCCTCGCACCTCTCCTCTGTTTGTTAAACTGTGAAACCTTCTTTGAATCTCAGTGTTTAAAATTTATCTTCCTCCCTTTTCTGGCACACTGCACGCCCCCCCCCCCCCTCTTAAAAACCCTGAACGCTGCCAGATCAAACATTTGAAGAACGACTTTCTGAACCTCTTGTGTTTTGCCAAGTTTGTACCACAAACCAACCACACCCTCCCATCATCATCAATTCATCCTGTGATTAAAAGCCAGGACGTGCTGCAGCCACTTCAGGGGCCTGGTGGCGGCGGCGGCGGGAGGAGGGACGAGGTCCTGAAACCGCCACAGATCTCTCCCCCCTCCCTGTGCCACTCACTTTCTCTTCAGAGGACGTTCTGCAGCGCTCTGCGGTGAAGGTCAGCAGGTCGCCGACAGACACACGATGAAAAGAGGCGGAGCACGAGAAGAGCAGCGGCTGATCTGACCTGAATTCACCGTCACAGCTTCGCTTCATGTTTCAGAGAAAAAAAAAGTCTGAAAAAACTTCTTCAAAAACACGAGAAGATCAGAGAAACTTCCACTGATCTGTGATCAGTCGACCGATTATTAGTTTAAACTTTATGTAAATGTAAAGTGTGACACTTTATGATGTCACTGTGACTTTGACCTTTTGGAAATAAAAATCATTTGACCAAATTTGTTTGGTCCATGTCCCACCTGCTAACATGGACAAGGCCCGGTTTATGACCTGTACTGCCACCAGGGGGCGATGGAGCTGAGTGAAAAAGTTTTCATGAGGATTTTCTGCTTTTCGTACGTTCTGAGTTAAACCGGGACGATGAAGGTGACGACCCTCTGAAAACATTCTGATCTGAGAAAAAAAGAAACGGCGCCGGAGCCGAGTGTCACCGTTTGAACCCGACTCCCTCACGTCACTGCTTCGTTTGGCCGAGCAGCTGAAACCGGATCCGACCTGACCGGCTCTCCTACCTTGTAAAACTTGGCTCCACTTTCATTCTGAAACAGCGTCAGACTCTTGCTGTCCAGCCTCCAGTAATGTCTCTTCCTCTGCAAAGACAAAACACAAAGTTATATTCAAATATAACTTCTAATATTAGAAAGCTTGTAGTGTGGACAGTGCGTCCAGGTTCAGTGACGAGGACGTATGATGTCATTAAGAAAACAAGCAACAAACTCATGCAATTGAAGAAATTAGAGGAGGAAAGTGTTTTATCAGGTGTTTCAGGTGTTCATCTGCATGTTTGTTGGAGAAATGTTTTTTCACATATTTTGTATTTAACGGTAAATAATTGTGTTTATTTTCTGTATATTTTCTATTTCTTAATTTATTTGTCACCAGCTCACGTGATATTCTCTTATTATTTCATTGATCATTATTCATTAATTATCATTTTGTGTTTGTTCTCACCAGGTTGTCGCGGCTGGTGAAGTGAACCATCCATCCTTCTTTCACCACCGTGGAGCTTTTCCTCTTGGTGTGTTTGATGGACTGAACCACTCGCATCAGGGGGATGTTACTGCTGGTGCACGGGCTGCGTGATGACACCAACACACACTCATTAACACACTGAGGCCGGTTTATGGACGTTACACAAATCTGTGACTTTAACGGGAAACGAGTCGAGTTCTAACTGAGTTCAGTTCAATTCTGAAAGCAGAGGAATTCACAATAATTGTGACAAATGTTTGTGACTGTTTTAAAAATTAAACCACATGGAAACACGTGACAGCCGACTCTCGTCACCTGATGGCTCTGAGCGTCTCGTCGTCTTTCTCGCCGTCCGCGCATGGACCCTCGATGAAGAAGAGCTTGTCCTCAGGGGTGGACGGCTCGTCCTGATCGTCCATGCTCTGACCTCCGTCACTGTTGACGTCGCAGTTGTCCACCTCCATCGTCGCCTCGGAGTCCAGACTGGGACTGGCGGGTTCTGCAGAAACACAAAATCAGAGTCAGGGAACAAAACCCACAACGGATCGTTTTTTAATTCAAACTAAAGAAAAACTAAAGAAAAACTAAAGCCTTAAAAATACATTAAAGTGGAAATGTATCCAGAAAAAATAAATACTGCTTAAATATTTAATATTTAAAAAGTACTTTTCTACGGTTCAACCGAAACAATGAGCTGAAAGAAAGTGAAGGGAACAGGTGATATTTCTCTGCAGGTCACTGGGAGTTCGCTGCTGATCGATTATCAATATAAATATATTGATTTAGCCTCTTTGAAGCTGCAGCGACCGCCCAGGTTCAGGTCTCTGACAGCAGACGACGTAAACGGCTCAACTCACCTCCGTTAAAGTCGACCTCGCCCAGACAGTCTCGAGGAACTTTGGCAGCACATCTCTTGTGGCAGTTAAATTTACAATCTGAAGAAACAGAACAAACACGTGAACCAGGCAACAAGAATCTGATGGTCGATTAAAAACAGATCAGCCTGAAGGCATCATCTTGAAAACCACAGGAACATTTATTAATTCTAGAGCAAAGATGGTTTTAGCTCCGCTGAGTCGTCACCCTTGCACTGCATCCCCTGGCGGAAGAGTCCCTTCAGCAGCCGCTTGCAGAACTGGCAGATGGTCGGACGAGTGTACGTGTGCACGGAGAAGGTGTGAGGGACTTTGACCCGGCCCAGGACCATCTTCTCCATCCAGATGGGACGACCGCTGAGCAGGGAGTTACGCTTCGCGGCGCCCAGGAGGGGGCGCTGCTGTTGGACAGAGGGGAAGAAGGGAGGAGAGAGAGAGAGAATTAAATGAGGAGTTTCCTGTTTGAGTGAAATCGTCAGATGTGACTCAAAAATGAAGTTGCCAAGGGGGGGGGGGGGCATATAGATGGAAAATAGAATGGGACCTAGGATTGAACCCTGTGGGATGCCATAGCCCGTGTTTGAGGGGAATAGAACTTTTGTGTGTGTGTGTGTGTGTGTGTGTGTCGGTTGCACAACTTGCTGCTGAAACTGTGATTTCATTCATTCTGTGTCAGAAATGAATCAAACTTTCACTTCGCTAAAAGAAGAAACTCATCATCATGTGACTGGAGCTGAGAGAAAACCTCCAGATACCAGGATGCAACAGTCACTTCAGTAACCGACAGCGTTCTAAAGGTCAGACTCAGGGTCGGGGATCGAACTGACGAGTGAGTTCAGTTTATTTAAAGCTGCAGTGATCAGTGTCTCTCTGAAGACGTGAGGAGTCACTGACTTGCAGAGAAGCATTTAAATATAAAAACATACAAATGATCTCAGATTCTTTATGTTTCGAGCTTTTTAAAGATTTTGTTGTTCGGACTTTTTCTCTCTTTGAGTTTAGATTTCTGAGTTTTGGTTATTTTCGCCTCCTGAGTTTCATTTTCTTTTTTTACTTTCAGTTTTGCTCTCGTCCGAATTCTGTTGCCTGTTTGTTTTTGATTGAATATTTTTTATCTGTCTGCATTTGGCTCCAGCAGTTCAGCGAATAATAAACCCACCTCCTCCTGCGGCGTCGGTGTGAACTCGGTGGAAGGCGGACGAGCCACGGACATGATGGCGCCCGGCAGAGACACGTTGGACAGTCGCCTCTTCTTCACGCCGCTGCAGTTGTTGGGGATCTTGAACGCACATCGTTTGTGGTAGTTCAGTCCACATCCTGCGGAGGAGAAAACTGACTCATCGATACGTCATCTCATTTTTATCTTTTGTCTGTTCCTCCTGCAGGTCAGTGCTCAAACTGGTAGAAACCAGTGCAACAAACAAGAGTCTGCAGCCGTTCGCAGCAACAGGACTTCTCATATCCCCTAAAACCTTCACGCAGATCCAGAATCTTTTAGCAGAAACAACTTCGAGCTTCGGAGGAATCTTACCTTCACACTTGAGGCCTTGTCTGACGAGCCCCCACAGCATCTCCCCGCAGTCGTCGCAGAACGCCGGCGCCTTGTAGGAGTGGACGTACAGCGCGTGAGGACGGATCTGGAAATCCTCGGCTGTGGCGAGAGCTGAAATTAAAATGATCACTTTTGTTTTGAATCCATCCAACTCAAGACAGAACGTTTTCCTCAGGACGTTGATTGAATTTGATTCATTTACACATCGTAGACTTTTTAACGTTTCAGGTGTGAATGGGATGAAAACACATCGTGAGGACGGGGGGTGGGGTTTAGTTTGAAAACAGTTTTATGGACGTCGCCTGCGCTAAGAGCGGATCAGCTGATTTCATCTTCGCAGCTTCGTTAGGAAACTAATTCTTAATTGATGTGTGATCATTTTGTTGATTGAACGTTGAGACTGTGAAGAATTTTGAGGAACTGGAACAGGTTTAGTTTTAGTTACTGAGTTCACACCTTGTTGATAAGTGTGTGTGTGTGTGTGTGTGTGTGTGTGTGTTTCACATGTATTCAGGTTCTGGTTGTTTTGTTTTGAACATGACACAGATCTGAGTTCTCTCTTTGTTCCTGTTATTGTCTCAGTCTTGAACCTCAGTCTCCTTGTCCCCCTCCTGTAGTTGAATCACTCACTTGAGCTTAATTATCTTCACCACCAACATCTGGTTTCATGTCGCCACCGTTGGGTCGTAACGTTCGTCAGTGCATCTTAACGTGAACATCGGTGTCAGACGCGTCCTCTGTGGCACCAGAGGCAGCGTGAACAGTTAGAAAGAATTAAACGAGCAGAGACGTGCACGGCTGCAGGAGCAGCAGGAGGAGGAAGTGGTTGTGGGTTTGAACCCGATGAGCCACTTTGTTTTCCTCCTCCTTTGTAAAGTAAACCTGTCGCTGCGGTGTTGAGCTGTTGAGGCGTAAGTTTTAGGTTTTACACCCAAACCTGTCGACACGAGTCAGGAAATATACTCAATGTTATGGTTGTGGGGGGGGGCGCGACGCTGCGGCGGCAAAACAAGATGTGAGACGGCTGCGGCCTCGGAGCCTGATCAACAGCAGAGAGGAAGCTGAGAGGAAACAAATAGAAATAAATAGAACTGTGCCTGTGTTACCATGGTAACAGCCTGAACATTGTGACCTCACAGTTCAACCGACCTTTAACCTTTAGGATAAAAAAATGTCGCCACTCACAGCGTGAAATGTTTTTATTTTTATTAATTATTTTGAATCGTAAATTAAGAAACACATGGTTCTGATTCTGGCTGAACGGTGACACCGGGTTCAGGAGCGACACTGACGCAGGATCAGAGGTTTTATGACGATACGTTCGATGCATGAAAATAATGTTTGAGAGGTAAAGTGCTGGTGATTTACCGGAGAGCACCACCTCCACCAGGTCGCCCTCGTGGATCTCCTCTGCAGACGTCAGCCGCTGCAGGATGTTGTCCGAGTTCAGGTCGTGACGGAAGAGCAGGATCTTGTCGTACATCCCGAAGAATCCACATTCTGGGAACTGAGGAGGAAGAAGAGGAGGAAGAGGTCAGAGACTGTTACAGACTGTTAGTTGTAATGAAAACGCTCCAGTGACAGAAGAAGCTGCATGAATCCACTGTATGAACGTAACGTGAAAAAAGAAACTGGTTGAACAGGAGCTGCTGGTGAAATGATCAGTCTGAGCAGTTTAATGTCAAATTCAATAAGTTGAAGATGTGGATAAAATCTTCAATCACAACTGAAGACGTGAGCAGTTCGTTCTAAAGAAACGAGATTGAAATGTGGAATATAAAATATCCTCACACTGAATAATGTGACATTAACTGAAACACTTCATACAGTGAAACACACAAAGTGCAACGATACCAGGAAATGAGAAAACTCGTCAGTCTCGTAAACTTAAAATGAGGAAACACCAGAGGCAGAAAAAACAGGAGATAGAATCATAAAACTAGACGCTCGTACTTCAAGCAGCAAATGTCACCTGCTCATAAATATCAGTCCTCTACGAGACCCAGGAATTAGTTCCTGACAAAATGTCAACAAACCAAGTGAAAGAAACATTTTGTGAAATAGAAAGTAATGGGATTACTCCAGAATAAAGGTCTATAATAAATGCAATAAATAAAAAAAAAAACAGAATCAAATACCAAACAAGAATTGCCGCCTCCGCTGACCAATCACAACGCAGATCACATTCATGTCAGTCAAACTAAACTATGTCATTTATGAAGTGAAGACTTGACCTCTGACCTCTGACCACCAAACTCTAATCAGGTCATCTGGAAACATGGCGCTCGGTCCTTGTGTCCCTGAGGCGACAGAGTCTGAGGCGAGACAACCAGTCAACTGCTCCGTCCATGTGACGTTCACTGTCAACTGGGTTTTTAAAAGATAACTCTGATTCTTTGCCGGTTAAATAAAACACAATATTAAGAAATCAGGTCAAAATCAAAACACCACAAAAATCTGTAGTTTAGTTTTTGTCTCTCATGTATAAATTTAACATTTCGACCTGAGGGTGGCGCTAGAAGTATGCGTCTGCCCCCTGACCTTTGACCCCTACACATAACAGACCCCCACGCCCCGGAGCAGCAGCTCCTTCTCACAACAGCAGCGTGAAGTTTCCCTCTTCATGACTCGACCATGAGTCGACCGTCACCCAACAGAACTCATGATGTGATGAAACGGATTCAGAGAAAACAACCAGCGGCTCAAAAACCAACACTGAGTCAGTTTCCACAGAACATCCGTCTGTTTATCACAAAATCTGACTTTGGTAACGTTGAGGTTTGTCTGCAGCTCGAGCTCAATTCATAAAGAACCTTAGAGAACGTGAGCTTCAGTTCATGTCTGGGTCACTGCCTGTGATTCCACTGATCCACAGTTCACATGAAAGTTTGAGCACAACTTTGAGAGTGAAGTCGTAACTTAATGAGGAGACAGTCGTAATATTCACAATTGCAAAAGTCAAAGTATTATGAGAAATAAAGTTGTAGTGTCTGTGTGTGTGTCTGTGTGT